GCAGATTACTTTTTCTTTTTGTAAATTTCGCAGGTCTATTGTTCTTTTTCATTTGAGAGCATTGTAAAACCCTTTTCTTAAATTTTTCATTTAAAATATGTGTTTTCGTTCAATTAGAAGGTTTGGATTGCTAAAAATCTCTGATATTGAAATTTTACTATAACTTTATTCGTTTTCAAGCTAGAACATTGATTTTAAAATCATTCGAAATAGAATAGAATGATCAATTTCACAAAGTTCCAAAATCAATTGACCGTTTGACCGAGAATACTGATAAAATGATGACCATCCAAAACTGATAAAGACTAATTATGATCTTATTAGTCCACTCCTTGCATCATCAATCAGTGATAAAAACCCCCGAATTTTCGGTTGTTAAATTTCATTTGTAATCATTTCGGTTGGTGGACAAAATGAGGTGAGTGGTCAATATACTATTCTATTCAAAGTTTGGAAAAAATTTCAGCAAGAATTTCGATTGGCCAGTTGGAAGCAATGAGGCTAAGGACCGTCTAGGGGAGAGGTGAGTCTTAAAAACTGGCTGTAAAAACAGCAAAAAAGAAATCTGCGTTCGGGGGGAATCGAACCCCCGTCGAATGCTTGGAAGGCATCCATGCTGACCATTACACCACGAACGCACACTGAAAGCACTGCCGCCTTGTTGTATACAAGGTAGCGGCAAAGCGCGGAGGCAGCCACAACAATATCTACGGCTTGTAAGGTTGCCTTCAACATGCGCGTTCGTGGTGTAATGGTCAGCATGGATGCCTTCCAAGCATTCGACGGGGGTTCGATTCCCCCCGAACGCAGATTTGTTTTTTATTCTTTTTAATTCTTTTTCCTTATTTTTAAACCCCTTTTAGATTCTCCCAACTCCATTTGGACACCAAAATCTCGGCATCCCATGCCAAACCATTAACCAACGCTGACCCAGTAGTGGTCCCTATCTATCATTCCTCAACTTATCGCTTCAAGACCATCGCCCAATTCGACGAGCCCAACCATGGTTCAAACTTCGTCTACCGTAGATGCGGAAACCCGACGACGGAAAACGTGGAAGTTGTGATAAATGAGATTGAAGGAGGAGCCGGTTCCCTGCTGTATAATTCGGGTCTCGCCGCGATTAGTGCAGTGTTCTTAGAGTTCTTGGGTGCTGGAGCCCATTTGATTTCCATGAGTCCAATTTATAGTGGAACATCTTCATTTATAAATGAGACTTTGAAACGATTCGGGGTGGAAGTGACATTTGTCGATGTGGAGAAGGAGGCGAATTTCGCAGAAGCCGTGGAGAAAGCAATTAAGTCGAATACCAAGATGATTTATTTCGAGACTATTGCCAATCCAACCATGGCTGTTCCAGATGTCTTGGGAACGCTAGAAGTGGCAAAGAAGCATAAGGTATGGAGTGTTTTGTCCATAGAACAAACTTGCCCTACTGTACAAAGTAATGTTTCAGATCCTCACCTGCATCGATGCCACATTCTCCTCCCCCTACCTCATCCAACCTCTCAGCCTTGGCGCTGATATCAGTCTTCATAGTTGGTGAGAACCTTGCTTAAAAACGGGTCATAGCTTCCTCCAGGATTAATATTTTCGGACCAACTAAAATGGATATGATAGAAAAACGCAAGATCTATAAAATGCCACTATTTGGAAAACTATTGCTTTACTATGAACAAAGTTACATGCCATAAAGATGGGACCGCGTTTTTATCCTGTAACTTTGATCGTAGACAAAATACAGTATTCCAAGGAGTAACATTTTGTAGTTCTTGAGTTTTCCTATCATATCCAACTCAGTTGATTATAAAATTTTGATCGTAAAAGAAACTTTGACATGGCCCGCCGGGGCCCGTCTTGGGGTCGTTTTCAAGTATTCAAAGTAGCCCTCACTCTGACTATCTGTATATCTAAATGTCCAGATGGTCTCTTTTCAGCTCAAAATTCATTGGAGGGCATACCGATGTGATTGCTGGAGTGGTTACCGTAGCTAGCTATGATAACTGGAAGAAGCTGAAACTTCAGCAGTTGACTACTGGAAGTTCACTGGTGAGCTTTAGGCATTTGGGATTGTGAATTTTGAACTAGAAATTTTGAAGTCTTTGAAGTATTCTAAAAATCATACTTGCAACGGGCCGGGCCGGGCCGGGCCTTCAAAAAATTGGTCAGGCCCGGCACGGCCCGGAAGGCCCGGAAGGCCCGGCCAGTTGGCGCCAGCTTAGATTTTTGAGCAAAAAAAGTGTGTTTTTTTTGGGAAAAAGTTGTTTTTATTATCTATTTTAAGCTAAATTGTAAATATTGAATTTGTAAATGTTTAAACAAAATTTTTGAAAAAATATTTTTTTTCCTGAATTTTTCCAAAGTTGATATCGAAGAAAAAATTGCATTTTTGAAGCAAAATAACAGTTTTCCCTCGAAAACTAGTTTTTTTGTTTAAAAATTATCAAAAAATTATCAAAAAAAATTTTTTTTTGAGAAATTTCGACCAAAAATATTCTTGTCCGGGCCTTCAACGATTTTTGCAAGTACGCTAAAAATCTAAAATTGCAGTCCCCCTACGACGCTGCTCTCCTGACACGTGGCTTGAAAACCCTGGCTCTCCGTGTCGATAGAATCTCTGAAAACGCTCAAAAAACTGCCGAATTCTTGGAGTCACATCCGAAAGTCTCTCATGTCTACTACCCCGGATTGGAATCTCATCCACAGCACAGATATGCAAAGCAAGTTATGAACAAGTTCTCTGGAATGATTGCTTTTGATGTTGGAAGTGCTGAAAATGCGATTAAGTTGGTGGAGGTAAGAGTTTGAACAATTACAAAAGTACTTCATATTTTTCCAATTGGCTTGAAACTTTTAGAGATTATCAAACAAACATAGAGCTTCATTTTTGTAGTTGACAAGTTTTCTGAGAATTTTGAACCAAAAAAGATATGCCAGCTTGATTAGAATGGACTTTCTGAGTTGTACTCGAAAAATAGGTCATATTTTAAATAACTGGAAAAGCACTTTAAACTTTTCCAAATAGTTTGAAATTTTCAGAGTTTACTAAACAAACCTAGAGCTATACTTTTGTAGTTGAAAACTTTTTTGTGCAAATGCGCCCTATTGAGATATGACAGTTTGATTGTTGCAGTCCTTGAAACTCATCATCCATGCTGTATCATTGGGTGGTACTGAATCTCTAATCGAGCATCCGTTATCCATGTCTCATGGCAAACAACTGCTTCGTGATTCAGACGGACCTACGGTGGCTCCAGGACTTTTGAGATTCAGGTGGGAGAAGTTTCTAGAAATTTCTGGAAAATTTGATTATTATTTCAGCGTCGGAATCGAAAACGTTGAGGATATCATTGGAGACTTGAAGCATGCATTGGATCAGTTGTAGATTGTATTTTTTGTCAATTTTTATAAATTTTGCAATAAAAATATGATTCAAAAATCCTTTAAAAATGATTATATTTGCTGTAAGAATTTGAATAAAAAATCTGAAAAAATCTTTTAAATGCTCTAAAATGAAAAAGAACAACAATCCTGCAAAATTTACAAAAAGAAAAAGAAATCTGCGTTCGGGGGGAATCGAACCCCCGTCGAATGCTTGGAAGGCATCCATGCTGACCATTACACCACGAACGCACACTGAAAGCACTGCCGTTTTGTCGTATACAAGCTAGCGGCAAAGCGCGGAGGCAGCCACAACAATATCTACGGTTTGTAATTTTGAGCAAATTCTCAACGCCCCTCTGAAAACACTTCCCTTGTTAGTCGCCTTGTCGTATATAAATCAGCGGCCAGGCGCGGCGGCAGCCACCGCAATATGTACGCCTTGGAAGCTTTAATGAGTGTGCGCGTTCGTGGTGTAATGGTCAGCATGGATGCCTTCCAAGCATTCGACGGGGGTTCGATTCCCCCCGAACGCAGATTTCTTTTTTATTCTTTTTAATTCTTGTCATTTGACACCAAACTCTCGGAACTTCCTTTAAATACAAAGATTTTTTATAATTTTTTCCAGAGGCACAAAGATAAATAAACATTTATTGGAAGCAGTAATAATTTCGATAATCAATTGAACTAAAAAAAGCCAAAAAAATTAGAAATCACAATTCCTCTCTGCTCTCCTCCGTCTCTTCTCTCTCCTCTTCTGAATTCTTCAGAATCCTCTTCTCAATCACATTCGAAATCTCTTCATCCAATTCTTTCCACTCGCCAATGATTCGTTGTGCCGAGCTGAGTTTGGGCTCTTTCGTCAGCGGGTTGTTACACTAAAAATTGAAAAATCGATAAATCAAATAATTGATCTTTACCAACCAGATCAATCGTTTTCGCCGTCTTTTTGCTCCGATCATCGCACCAAGTTTCACACCAAAGCCAGTTTTGTGGGAGGGATTTGATCGGGACCTCATGGATCATATTGTTGGGGAGGTCTTGGTCCAAATTTGATAAGCTATTCGGGTCGGCTGATAGGTTGTCATAGCGTCCACGTAGACGATCACCAGCGGCGAATTTTCGAAAAGCCTGGAAATTATCAATAGAGCGCGTTTCCTCTTTGGAAAATGCATTTTATAGCATTCTCAATGAAGCGAATTCACGATAAACAGTTTTCCCTAACTTCTCGATTTAAAGTTACTTTAAAGCGATTTTCAAAGTTTTCAAGTTGCCAACGCGCTCCACTGAAAATTCTCAATAGAGCGCATTTACCTTCAAATCCACGACATAGAGTGCACTGATATGATAACGTCGTCCCATCAGATGCGTATTCCAGTATCCCGTTTTCCAGAATCGAAAACCGTCCATTTCTTTGCGACTCTCACAGAATGGGACGTAGCTGAAAATTGGAAGTTTTGGAAGTGCGCTCTATGGCTAATTTTATTGTTCTGGCGTCATTTTGTTAACAAATGCGCTCTATCGAACTTTCCGGCAAGATGGGAGTTCGTTAGAGCACACTTGCTCTTAACTAAGAAACTGGGCTTTATTGCTAATTCTTAAAGTATCTTAAAATCTCAAAAAAGCTGTTAGTTCGTTAGGGCGCATTTTCTATATATCTTAGTGAGCAAGTGCGCTCTACCGTACCCATATGGCGATCCTTTCAAATCGAAATCCATCAATTCTAATAAATCGGCTCGGACCACTTGATCGGCATCGACGAAAATGATTTTGTCAACGTTCAGCGGGAATAGGACGTCGAGGAAGAGAATCTAGAAAATATTGCCTTTATTTGAGTAAAAATCGATTTCCAAAAAACTCAATTTTTCAATTTCAGGCATTTTCAGCCGATTTTCAGCCGAAACTCTCGGAGAAAGTTTATATTTTTTTTAGAGATCTTTCAAATTTTTTCGCATTTTTCCAATTCAAATTCGGGCAATTTTCAGCTAATTTTCAGCCAATTTTCTGATGAGAATTTTGAATTTATCTGGGTAAAAATCGATTTTTATTGATTTTTAATAGTTTTCCTATTCAAATTTGGCTATTTTTTGCCAATTTTCAGCTAAAATGATCGGAAAAATTTCAGTTTTTATTAGGGTAAAAGCCAATTTTTATTGATTTTCAAAATTAAATTCTAGACATTTTAAGCCGATTTTCAGCCAAAATTCTCGGAAAACTGTTGGATCTTTGGGTAAACCTCGATTTTTATCGATTTTTTAAAATACAATTTCAGGCATTTTCAGCTAATTTTCAGCCAAAATTCTTGGAAACTTTTGAACTTTTCGTGTGAAATTCCATTTTTTTTCAAATTTTTTCGCATTTTTTCAATTCCAATTCAGGCAATTTTCCGCAAATTTTCAGATAAAATTTTCGAATTTCTCTCGGTAAAAATCGATTTTTATTGATTTTCAATAGCTCTTATATTCAAATTTGGCCATTTTTCGCCAATTTTCAGCCGAAATTCTCGGAAAAATTTTAGATTTTTTCAGCCGAAATTCTCCGATTTTTCCGATTTTCCGTACCTTATAACCCCACATCACTCGCTGTTTCTCCGTCTGCTGGTGCAACCATTTCGGCCATTTATACTCGACCAACTCGTATTCAAACCCATAGAAATCCGCCAAAATCGGAATGGATTCTTTGAATTTCGGCGATAGATAATTTTTCAACAGCCAAAATTTCACTTTTCCACTTTGCGTATTTTTCATCACCGACACAATCATAATTCGCATGAATCGCTCGTAGAGGTGTCCAGATGCCAACGAGAACACGTTGATGGTTTCAGAAGGGGGCGGAGTCGAGAAGAAGCTAGAAAAAATCGAGTTTGGATGCGTCGCGTGTCGGCGCAGCGGTCTTTTTTGCGACGGAGCGCACTTTCTTTGCACAGAAATTTAAAAATTCAAACTTTTTCGCTTTTTCCATCAATCTTCCCATTGCCGATCCCTCTTTTTGCTCCTTTTTGTCCTCAATTTCCTCCACAACTAACTGGGTCCATTTTCGAGTGAATGAGTCTGAAAATTAGCAAAAATCTTATTTTGGAATTTTCTATAAAATTTGAATTTTTGATTATCAGATTTTTTTTTTCAAAAAATTCAGAATTACAGATTTTTTTGGAATTTTCAATTTTTTCTTGAAAATTCGGTTTTTTGGAATTTTTGAATTTTAGACTTGGAATATCAGATTTCCCAAAATTTCCGTTTTTTTGGATTTTTGGAATTTCGGAATTATCGAAATTTAAAATATTTTAAAATTTACAATTTTCAAAAATTGACGAATTCTGAATTTTCGATTTTTTGATATATTTTTTTTCGAAATTTCTGAATTTTTGATTTTTTTAAAAATTCGAAATTTTCGTTTTTAGATTTTTGGATTTCTGGAATTTCGAAAATTTCGAATTTTTTGGAATTTTCAAACTTTTCTGATTTCCTACCGTACCTACAACTACCGTAATCTTCCCATTCACTTCTTTTGAATCGATTTTCTGAATCCAAAAATTCTCCGAAGACGTTCCGTTTCGAATTTTCAAATCCCAAATGCCAGGTTCCGCCTGAAAATTTCAATTCCAATTTTTTGAATTTCGTCCGTCTGTCTATCCAAATGTCCAGATGCCCGATGTTCACCTTTAACTGAAAATACCCTAAATTTCGCATCACAATCGTATCGTATTTCGTATTTTCAGATTTTAGCTCTAATTCCAGACCATCCGACGCGTCACCGGTGCCGGATTTTTGGGATTGACCTTCGACGAGAATGTGCTCCAAACTGAATTCCGATTCGACGTCTCCAGAAGTCTGGAATTCAAAAAATGTCGAAAGTTTTCTGGAGTTTCTAAATTTTCGATTTTTTTTTGAATTTTCAGTGATTTCGGAATTTCTAAATTTTCGATTTTTTTTGAATTTTCAGTGATTTTGGAATTTCTAAATTTTCGATTTTTTTTTTTGAATAAATTTTTAAGAATTTTCGAATTTTCGGTATAAAAAATTTTCCAGAATTTTTTGATTTTTCAGAATTTCCGTCTTGAAGCTTTTAGAGTTTTTAGAGGCGAGGATATGCATTTTTAATCTAAAATACGCTAATTTGTAATTCCGAGAGACGCAGACAGCGAAACATTCGAACTGTCTGCGTCTCTTCAAAACTTTAAATACCTATATATCGGGTTCTAGATGAGCTAGAAAAGTTACTCTTAGACAAAAATGTGTCAAATTTGAAGTTCTATGAAATATTCAAATTCCAGAAAAATGTTTTGAAAAATTCTGCAATTTTAGAATTTTTAAAATAGAAATTCTCATTTGACATTTTTTTTTGTCTAAAAATCACTTTTCTAGCTCATCTAGAAGTCGAGATCTAGGCATTTGAAGCTTAGGAGGTGAGAGACGCAGACAGTTAGAGTGTCTCGTTGTCTACGTATCTAGCCTCCTAAATTTCAAACGCCCATATCTCGGCTTCTAGCTAAGCTGGAAAAGTGACTTTTAGACAGAAAATTGTCAAATTTTGAATTCTGTTTCGAAAAAATCACATTTTCCAACAGAATATTATCCAAATCATCATCAGCCTTCTTCACTTCAATCATCCATCCGTCGTTCGTTTCCACCGACATTGTCAGCAGTTGTTTTTGTGGAAGATTTGAGAAAATCGCCGATTGATCTTTGATTTTTCCATTTTCATCAAATTCCAAAAATTCTGAAGCCACAAATCGATAAAATCGCTTGATTGGCATTTCGTGGAGCTCGCTTGAAGGGTTGAAGATGATCTGAAAAAATGTAGTTTGTAGTCAATTAGGGCGTATTCAATTGAACGGAATTACATATTCAATTGAACGGAATTAATGGGACGTTGCCTTAGACTATTTTTCTCAATAGAGCGCACTTTATGTAAAATGTGCTCTATTGATAAATCTATTGTTTTCAATAGAGCGAACTTTCTCTAGCATACATCCGTTGTGTATAGCTCCAGTGATATTATCGATGGAGTGCGTTTGCTTTCTGTATTATAGGACGTTTCAAATTCGCTCTATTAACAAATGTCTTGTTCTCAATGGAGCGCGCTTGCTCGTTTCGTGTCAAATGCGCCCTACCTCAACTTTTGCATTCAACACATTGCTCATCAATTTGACAATTGACACCAAATGCTGAGCTTCTCGAGAAACTGGATTCAGAATCCATGTGATCGTCGAATATGGAGATTCCGGATTTTTGGGCGGGAAAATGATCAGATTTCTGGAATTTGAATTTTTTGGAGTTTCTTTTTCTGGAATTTCCAAAATGACCTATTTTCTAGATCCTTAAAATTGTCAAAAGCGACACGAGGAACATCTTTTTTGTAGATTTTTGATAAAACTGAGAAGAATTTAATGGTGACGTCATCCTGATTGGGGAAGTGCTGGGAGAGGAAGGCGGAGGTTTTCTGGAATTGAATAGTGGGATTTAGGGAAACTCTGAAACAGAAGGGCCCCCATACTGTCAAGTTTGCGCTCAATTATCTCAGCTCCTATAAGAGATATCAAAAAGTGGTTAACTGATAAAATGTTTGTGATATTATGATGAACAATTTATCAGTTGACAATTTTCATATATCTTTGTCAGGGACCGAGATAAATGGGCTCAAAGTTGAAAATCAGGGGGCCCTTTATATTAAAGGTTTTACGGTATTTTATATTTATTTTAAGAATTGGAAAAACTCCAGAATATCTAAAAAATTAGATCTGAAATACTCAAAATTTTGAAAATTCTAGAAAATCGGGATATTTGAAACTCCAAAAAAATCCAGATATTTTTCCAACTTTCTTCTCTAGAACTGTCTTGAAATTTCAATATTTTGGAAGTTCAAATCAGGAAAAAAATCTGAGAATTCTGTCAGAATCTAACTTTTGAATTTTTGAAAAAAAAATGCAAAAATAGCAGAATTTACAGAGTTTGAATATTGAAAAATTTGCAGACGTTTCGGAACCACGACGTTTCAGAACTTTTCTGCATTCTTGTATAGTGGTTTTTGCCCACCAAATGAGCATTGCTCATTTCAATTTTGTGCTCTTCTGTTTTTTATTCGTTCTCATCTACCGTACTCCAAATAGTGTTCACACTCGGTATCTCTCAAAAAATCGAAAAAAAACTGAAATTTTCAAAAACGATTTCTAGAAGTACCGGCGAACATGAGTCTCCTTTTCGCGTACTTCTAGACATCGTTTTTGAAAATTTCAATTTTTTCGATTTTTTGAGAGATTCCGAGTGTGAACACTATTTGGAGTACGGTAGATGAGAACGAATAAAAAACAGAAGAGCACAAAATTGAAATGAGCAATGCTCATTTGGTGTGCAAAAACCACTATACAAGAATGCAGAAAAGTTCTGAAACGTCGTGGTTCCGAAACTCCTGGTTCTGAAACGTCGTGGTTCTGAACTATTGGGTTCTGAAACGTCGTGGTTAAGAAAAGTTTGGTTCTGAGACGTCGTGGTTCCGAAACGTCTGGTTCTGGAACGTCGTGGTTCTGAAACGTCCCGGAGCCAAAAATAAGCTGTTTTTCATTCCTAAAACCCAAAATTTCCTTTTTTAGCTCAAAAAGCTTCAAAATTCCCTCACCTTCGCCCCTCGTTCTTTCCACAAATTCTCCAAAAACTCAAAATCCTCAATTTCCAAAAATTGCTCTTTCTCATTTTCTTCAAATGGTCCAATAACAAGTCCATTGAAAATTACAGCCATTTCTCCTGCTTTAATTTCATTTTTCCTCAAAAAATTCGAAAATTTCCTTGCTCCAATGCATGATTCCTGATTTTCCAGCCTCAAAATTGCAGATTCCAGATTTTCAGAATCAGAAGGGCACGACGAGTCTTCTGAATCTGAAGACGTCGTTGGATTCGAAATCAGCGCGATTTTCAGAGGAAATTTCAACGATTTTAACCATTTGGTAATCGATAATCGATTTTTTGTATTTTCAAAGTTTGCGATGATCGCCAGTGTGGGATTTTCAGGATTCTCTGAAGCTTCTGAATCCAATTCCACAAATCTCCTCTCGTTGAACGCTTTGACGATTCTGAAAAATTCAAATTTGGCGCTGAAAATTCTCAAATTGTTCTTCTATTACCTCATACTAACTCTGGTTTTCAGATCCGGATTCGTCTCCTCTTTCAGCCAAAAATCGTCGATTTTCACAGAATCGGTGATTAGACGTTGGTAGAGCGCGAGTTGAAGACGTAGCGTTTGTTTTTGGATATTATCAAAGAGAGCGGCGTCGAAGGATTCAGATGAGGAGGTCTGGAAACAAGAGGGTCAGAGGATCAGAAGAATCCTTAGAATCCCTAGAATTCAGGGATCTAGGAATCTGAGAATCCTGAGAATCTGGGAATCCTGAGAATCTGGGAATCCACGAATCTAAGAATCTAAGAATCTTAAGAATCCAGGAATCCAGGAATCTAGAAATTCAGACATCCAGGAATCTAAGAATCCTAAAAATCCAAGAATCCAGGAATCCTAAAATCAAGGAACCAACCAAATCCAGTGGATATCCATTGAGAAGTGCCTGTGGTCCTTTACCAAGACCCGTTTTCAACAGGAATTCGTTTCCATTCTGTAAAATTTGGATTTTAAGTTTTCAAATTTCAGTTTTCTGAACAATTGAAGGGTTACTGTAGGAGAAATTTTCTTTAAAAATGAGTGCTCCCAAAAGCTGAAAAGTTGCCTGAAAATTGCATTTTTAAAGTTGAAATTCGGTCTGAAATTAAGTCAAATTCGCAATTTTTGGAAGGAAAGGATTACTGTAGAAGTCGAAAGGTTACTGTAGGAACGCAATTTCAAAAACAGCGAAAATTGAAATTGCTGTGAGAACAGCTAATTGTGGAGTACTGTAGCAAACTAAAACTGCAATAAAGATCAAAAAACTAGCGAAAAATCCACCTTCGAAATCATCGAATTTCGAATTACTGTAGAAAACCAAAAACTTCAAAAAAAGCTAATTGGGTTACTGTACCTCTTGCTCCTCTCAAAAAAAGGGGAATCTGCGTTCGGGGGGAATCGAACCCCCGTCGAATGCTTGGAAGGCATCCATGCTGACCATTACACCACGAACGCATAGAACATCTTCTAGAACATTCCAAAGACAATACGAAGCTGCTATCTCCGATAGATTATCCGTTTTCCTTGGATGAACAAGGAACTAGAATAAAAAGAAAATCTACTTTCTGGTCAGCTAAAGGAAAGGGAACATCTATCGGAGATAACGTCTTCGTATTGTTTATGGAATCTTCTAGAAGATGTTCTATGCGTTCGTGGTGTAATGGTCAGCATGGATGCCTTCCAAGCATTCGACGGGGGTTCGATTCCCCCCGAACGCAGAGTTCCCTTTTTGGGAGAAGGAGGTACAGTAATCCAGTAGATTTTTTGGCTTTGCTACAGTAACCAAAATAGGCTCATTTTCAAGGGGAAATCTCGTCGCTTGCTGAGGAGTCCTACTGTACTTTTAGGACTGTTTTTAGCATCACAATCATTCCAATTCCTTCTTCTAGAACCTTCTGTGCTCTCTTATCCTGCAGACTTCATAGCTCATAGTCCACAAACCAACAAAACAACTAGAACATTCTAGAATTCCCCCTTCTTCCTCACTCCCTAAAAACTGCCTCGTAAACAACAATCCACCCCTTTCTCTCTCGTCTCTCTTGCACTCTATTTCTCCCCAAAAAAACATGGGGAACGTTCTGGCAAAACGAGATAGCATAGCGGTCAACAGGAGACGCAGACACCGAGCACGCCTCTCAAAATGCATCTAGAAGGTTCTAGAAGGCGTTGTGATCAGGGCTATAAAAGCTAGGAGGTCAGGGAAACGGTCAGAATTCAGATTAAAATTTGCTACTACAAACTACAAAAATGTCTTCATGCAAAGCGATTGGAATCGACTTGGGTACCACGTACTCCTGCGTCGGTATCTATCAGTATGGAAAGGTGAGTATCCTAGTCTAGGCAGGCTGTCGTACGGTCGGTCGCGTCTGGCCCATTTAAACTTCTAAGAATTGATTTTGGGCCGTTTAGAACAAAATCTAGGTCACATAGGATTCAACGATAGTGTCATTTAGCTCCAAATTTGGCCAATTTTAGGGCGAAATCTAAGAAATTTTTAGAAGTTAGGCTATTTTAAGGCCGATTTTAAGCCGTTTTTAGAGCTAAATTTGAGCCTTTTTTAAGGCCTAATTTAAGTCATTTTTGTTTTGACTAAACTTGAGTAATTTTTAGAGCCACATTTAAGCCGTTTGAGGTCCAAATTTTAGCTATTTTGGGCTAGATTTAATTCGTTTCTTAGAACAGAATTTAAACCATTGTTTATTGTCAAATTTGAGCCATTTTCAAGGGCCAATTCAGTTTGTTTTCAGGACCAAATTTAAGGCATATTTATGCCCAACTTCAAGCTATTAGGATCAAATTCGATTTAATTGAGGCTATTTAGGATGAGGAAATAGGCTGTGATCCAAATTCTCAATTAAAATCCTTATATCCCATATTTCCAGGTCGAAATCCTCGCCAATTCCGATGGAAACAAAACCACCCCATCCTACGTGGCATTCACCGATACTGAACGTCTCGTAGGTGACGCTGCCAAAGATCAAGCTGCTCGCAATCCAGAGAACACAGTCTTCGATGCGAAACGTCTCATCGGACGTCGTTTCGACGAGGAAACCGTTCAATCCGACATCAAGCACTGGCCATTTGCAGTCAAACAAAAACAGGGAAAGCCAATGATTCAGGTGGAAGTCAAAGGCGAGAAACGGGAGTTCAGTGCAGAGGAGATCTCAGCGATGGTGCTTCAGAAGATGAAGGAGACCGCGGAGACCTATCTAGGACATAATGTCAAGGATGCAGTGATTACAGTACCCGCCTACTTCAATGATAGCCAACGGCAAGCTACTAAAGACGCAGCTACCATTGCTGGTCTCAATGCGATTCGAATCATCAATGAGCCAACTGCAGCCGCCTTGGCTTATGGATTAGACAAGGGGATCACTGAGGAGAAGAATGTGTTGATCTTCGACTTGGGAGGCGGCACTTTTGATGTCTCCATTCTCTCCATCGCCGAAGGATCCATCTTCGAAGTTCGCTCCACCGCCGGAGACACTCATCTCGGAGGAGAGGACTTTGACTCCCGAATGCTTCAACATTTCATGACAGAAATTAAGAGAAAGACTGGAAAAGATATCTCTCCGAACCCACGAGCCATTCGACGTCTTCGCACCGCCTGTGAGCGTGCAAAGCGCACTCTGTCAAGCTCCACCGAGGCTACTGTAGAAGTTGACTCGCTGTTCGATGGTGCTGATTTCTATTCAAAGATCACGCGAGCCAGATTCGAGGAGCTCTGTGCGGATTTGTTCCGGAAGACGTTAGAACCCGTGGAGAAGGCATTGAGAGACGCCAAGATGGATAAGGCTAGAATTGATGAGGTGATATTGGTGGGAGGATCTACAAGGGTGCCAAAGGTTCAGAAGTTGCTCAAGGACTTCTTCAATGGCAAGGTGAGTTTGGCGATTGCTCTCATATCTCTCAAATGAAAGTTTCAGGAACTCAACTGCTCTATCAACCCAGACGAAGCAGTTGCCTTCGGCGCTGCCGTTCAAGCTGCAGTCCTTTCCGGCGTCAAAGATGACACTATCAAAGATGTCTTGCTCGTCGACGTGGCTCCTTTAAGCTTGGGAATCGAGACTGCTGGAGGGGTCATGACCAATCTCATCGATCGTAACACCCGTATCCCAGCAAAGGCTTCCAAGACATTCACTACCTATGCCGACAACCAGCCAGGCGTCTCTATCCAGGTCTACGAAGGAGAGCGAGCTATGACAAGAGACAATCACCGACTTGGAACCTTCGAATTGACTGGAATCCCACCAGCGCCACGTGGAATTCCACAAATCGATGTGACTTTCGACATCGATGCAAATGGTATTCTCAATGTCTCTGCGGAGGATAAGTCTACAGGAAAATCCAATAGGATTACGATTCGCAACGAGAAGGGAAGACTATCACAAGCAGATATTGATCGAATGGTTAACGAAGCCAAGCAGTTCGAAAGAGAGGATGCTCAACAAAGAGACAAGGTCAGCGCCCGTAACCAATTGGAGGGATACGCGTTCCAAGTGAAACAAGCTCTCGATGAACATGGGGATAAGCTGAGCTCAGAGGATCGTAGTCGTGCTAGAGAAGCCGTCGAGGACACTCTTCGTTGGATGGAATCCAACACTTTGGCTGAGAAGGATGAGATTGAGGCGAAGGATCGGGAATTGAAGGCGGTGTGTCAGGCGATTCTAACTAAGATGCATCAGCAGGAGAGTGGTGGTCAGGGAGCGAATTGTGGAAGTACACCTGGATCGGGAGGATTCAATCCGAGCAACTATCCAGGCGGTGCTGGACCCACTGTTGAAGAAGTTGATTAAGAAGATCTCATTTTGCTTTTATTTTCTTTGTAAATAAAATTTTGCCTTTTTTAAACCAATAAATCATATAGCTTTGAAAAATGCAGTCAAAAACTTTAAGCTTCGAAATTGGCCAATTTTGGAGTACTGTAAAAACTAAAAACTGCAAAAAGGCTAATTGGGTTACTGTACTTCTTCTCTCAAAAAATCTGCGTTCGGGGGGAATCGAACCCCCGTCGAATGCTTGGAAGGCATCCATGCTGACCATTACACCACGAACGCATAGAACATCTTCTAGAAGATTCCAATGACAA